CGGGTCTCTCCAATCCATAATATCCTCTGCTTTCCCCGACGGCCTACCGGAGCCCTGCATTGCCGTCGTCCTCAGGGAGACATTGAAAGCCATGTCGTATCTTCATGACCAAGGGCACCTCCACAGAGACATTAAGGCTGGTAATATCTTGATTGACTTCAATGGGTCGGTTAAAGTTGCAGACTTCGGGGTTTCTGCTTCTGTTTATGAGGCCAATTCGAGTGGAAAGTCTTCGATTAGGTTAAACGACGTTGCTGGGACGCCGTATTGGATGGCGCCTGAGGTGATACACTCGCATAACGGCTACGGATGCAAGGCGGATGTATGGTCTTTTGGGATCACAGCTCTGGAATTGGCTCATGGGGGGCCTCCCCTGTCTAACTTGCCTCCTTCAAAGTCTCTGCTTTTGAAGATCACGAAGAGGTTTCGGTTTTCGGATTATGAAAATCGTCACGACAAGAATTACAAGAGCAAGAAGTTCTCTAAGGCCTTTAAGGACTTGGTGGGTTGTTGTCTTGATCAGGACCCGAACAAGAGGCCCACTGCGGAGAGGTTGCTGAGGCACTCGTTTTTCAAGAATTGCAGGGGCTTGGATTTTCTGGTGAAGAATGTGCTTCAGGGTTTGCCTAGCGTTGAGGAAAGGTTCAAGAAAACCAGGGCTTTGGGAGGGCTGATGAAGGAGAAGGGTATTAATGCTGAGCATGATGAGGATGAAGAGGAAGATGATGAAGGTAGCTCAGCGAGGCAGAGGGCTAAGCACAGAAGAATTAGTGGGTGGAATTTCAATGAGGATGAGTTTGATCTCCACCCTGTGTTCCCAGTTGAGCCTCAAGGCGATTCTGCTGTGAAAATGGTTCGGTTTGGTGGAGAATCCATCATCCAGGACAGGGGAGGTGAGTGGAGTGAGTCGAATCCGAGTTCACCGGGTCTGGTTGAGGAGGAGGCTGAGAGTGAGAATGTGGGTGTGATGGAAGCTGTGAGGGAAGCAATGGCGGTGGGTGAGCATAGTGAGAATGTGGGTGAGATAAGGGGATTGTTGGGTGGTGGTGGTGTTGATGAGGAAGCCCTGGTGGGTGCCCTGAGTGGAAATGTGGTTGGTGGTTTGGATAGGGAAGCAATGATGGGTGCGCTAGTGGCTTTCATAGGGAGCTTGGATGAGCAGAGGCAGAATGTGATGAAATTGTTGAGCGTGTTGAGAGGGGTGGAAGCTTGGGAGTTGAGCAGAGAGGAGCAGATGGGGCAAGTGATTGAGAGGCTGAGGGTGGAGTTGGAGAATGAGAGGGGGAGGAATTTCCAGTTGGAGATGGAATTGGAGTTTCTAAGGATTCAGGTTTCTGGTGCACATAGCAGCACTGGGGCTGGTATCGATTGAGATATGTTACTTGAATTTTGAGGCAGGGCATGCATGCATATTTGCAAATTGCAAGAGAGTTTTTGCATTTTGATTAATGGTGAATTCTTTGCATGCTTTAGTGTCTAGTTGTTCTCATACAGAAGAATACAGATTCCTTTGTCATAACCTTTTCATAAGTGATTGACCATTTCATATATAGAAAGCTTTATATTTGTATCTGATTAAATATGAAATGGAGTTTGCCATTTTGTAAGCATTTGTTCATATCTGTGCTCAGATTTGCTTTCCTTTTTCTGAATTATGAATCTATTTCATCCCAACTTCTTGTTAGCTTTATTTTTTTTGGTCAAAACTTGTTGTTAGCTTTAGGTGGATCGGTTAATAAAGAAGTTAAGATTGAAGACCATGGTTTCCCAATGAAAGCAGATAGCTAACTTCAGAGGCCCTAATTTAGTTGAAAGATGTGAATTGACTTGTGTGGTATAGATCATTCCATGTCCTAGACAAGGCTTGAGGATCCTCTGTTTTCTCCTCTTTTATTCTTTCTCTTTGTTAATGGAACTAAGCGTCGTTTCTCCTTTGGGGCCTTCAAATGGAACTAATTTTAGAGAGAAGATCAATTGACTGGGTTGGGCCCATAAACAAGCCCGTTGCCACACTCAATTTGAGATCCTTCAAGGCCGTTCTCTTGTGTTGTGCCGGAAAGGCTACAATGAGGGGGCATGGATGAGGGACTCAAGTGAGGGTTCAATCCAACCATTAGACTTTAATATTTTCAACTTACATATAGTTGGATTAGACCCCTTACTTAACTCCCTCACTCATATCCCTCATTGTAGTAGCTTCCGTTGTGAGCTCAGATTGTTTTGGAGTACAACCTACATAAAACCAAATAACTCTTTTCTTTTCTTTCAATTTCAATTACTATATGTGTTTTACGTTCTTTACTTCGAAAAAGATTATCAGAATTGTTACTTTTGATGTAGGTTAGAGTGACACAAGATAACGAAAAAAGTTTTTTCTTTTTTTCTTTTTTGGTTTTTGTGTTTTGCTAAAATGATTTTAAAAAATGTTTTGTTGGATTAGAGAGGCACTAGTGCTTCCTCAAAAACACTAACCGAATAATTTTCAAATTAACCAACCAATAAATGTAGAGTAATGCTACTCTTATCACATTCTTATATCATTTTATGTAATAGATGATGTGAATAGTCACATCAATTAAAAAACGTCAATAAATTATAAAAGAAAAGAAAAATGTTAAATTAATTTTAATTGATGTGGTGGTTGTCCATCTCATCTGACACATAAGGTGCTATGAGAATATGTTATACAAATGTGGTAAGAGTAACATTATTCATAAATGTATGACTTGTGTATGTTAATTGTGTAATTAGCATCATTGTTGCAAATGGTTTGCAATGGTTAATTACGAAGATGAAATGGTCAATCACTTATGTGTGCAATCCAACGGTCGAAATTAGAAATATGAAACTAATCCTTACCTTAAATCCTTATTGGAAATCTCCCTGATTAATTAATTATCTTGTTAAATTCCTATATATAATGCAAGTTTTGAGTCTTTTGACAGATAGAGTGTGTATGTGATGGGAGCTTTGTCTTTTTTCTTTGTTTTTTTTCTTTATTGAGACAAGAGAGACGGGTTCAAGGATTTCAAGTCTGATGAGACAGCAATCAATGGAAAACCCTAATGATTCTCACCAATTAGCATTATGGTGACTGACAGAAAATCAAGCCCAAAGAGGGCCTCTATATATATATATAGTCCATGTTTCGTCTATTTTCTCAGTGCCCTAAATTCTGATACATAAACATGGTAATATATCAACAACAAAAAATCACATTAATTAATGCCACACAAAGTTGTGATTGGCTGGTCCAAATATCAAGCAGCTGCAAAAAAAAAACTATGAGTGGAGAAGACGGCACCAGAGTGCACTGCGGGTAAACCCTGCCACTCAGTCTCTAGAACCTTATAGCAATCACAAACCATATTTAGCATTCCATGGAGTCGCTCAATTGGCCATTGGGTCTTTCACTAAATCTCATATTTTTGGTAGGATCTTTTGGCTATGTGGGTTCTCTGATAAAACTTTCACTCCTTTTTTGCCACAAAATGCAAAGGAGAAATTTGGGTACACTCAGATTTCTTTTCTTGTGAGGCATTGAGGGGTGTGTAAACCAATGCATTCTCTTAAATTTGATTGTTTTTTAAACTGAAAAGAAAACAAATATCTGGCAACAACATGTGTAAAGCAGTTTAGCAACAAATATCTGGCAACAACATGTGTAAAGCAGTTTAGCAACAAATATCTGGCAACAACATGTGTAAAGCAGTTTAGCAACTCAACCTACCACTTGTCATCAGCCAACCATATAGCTAGCTCCAAGTGCAACATGCAATGCAACATGCGCAAGTAAAACGAAAATTAACCAAGAGGACAGGAAAATTTCAAAAAGTTTTTTTTCCTACGTATTTTTTTCAAGAAGAAGATGATTTTGAGGTAAAAAATCTTCTCTATAATAAAGTTCCTAACATTCTATTAGTAATGCTAAAGGGATGATCACATTTTATAACCACGTTAGTTAATCACAGAGTGTAATTTAATTAATTACTATGACGAGCGAGTTGTTAATAGACACTATCACATAATGTTATCAACTATATAATGTGGTTTTAGAAAATATGATCCTGTGTAAATGTGCCGAGATGATTAGCAGTAAACGCATCATGCATGATGCATGCATGCAAATTATGGAAATCAAACCCAAGTATGAGTCCATAAATGACTAATGATGAATAACTGAGAAGAACCAAAAATATTCATATGCTTGTGAAATTAATGAGATCAGAATTTTACCCTCCTCCATTTCAACAAAAATTACTTGACTGGAGAAGGCATTTGGTTTTCTGGGAAGTAGTGCATCTACCGAGCATAATAATAATTAAGGAGATTTGAGCTCATGATGATGATTAATTAATATTAATTTTAGAGTAATAGGTCTTTAGAGCTTGCTTGGTAATAAGTTAATGTACTATCAATAGTCGAGTCATTGAAGTTTCCCAGCTGCTGACCAATGAAATTGAGACATGTGGTGAAGCTGATCACGTACGAAGCCAATATATATGATAAAGTTAGATACAAATTAATAGCATCCACAAACACTGAAAGCTAGATTTGGCAAAAAGGTATAATCCTGGCAGACTTTGGTTCGACGTATAGTAAGTAGTGACCAAACATATGGTACACTTTCAGGGGTACCATCCAATCAGATTTTTCAGTCTTTCGTTTACAAATTTGATGGCCTTTACAGAAGCTTTAATCACTCTCTCTCTCTCTCTCTCTCTCTCTCTCTCTCTCTCTGAGACTCAAAGCCCAATACTCCATCATCACCATTTTTCCCAGGTCAGTCACCTCCCATTTATTTCTTTTTCTTTTCTTTTTCTTTTTTCAATCTATATAATCTCTTTCTCTTTCCATGCTTCCACAACTTTTGAGAGATTTCATTTTCTCCTCTATTTCAAAGCTTGGAGAGTCAGAAATTTCTTTCTTGAATTTTTCTTTCAATACGATCTTGGACTCTTCTCTAGACAATTGATCCACGTATATTGGCTGGTCCGAATCTCTTCGTTCCTCCCCTCTGCTGTAAGTGCGTCATCACTTTCATTTCTAGTGATTAAAAACTTTTCAAATAACTGAGCTGATTTGAATTCAGCAGCAGTTTCTTGAGTTATTAAAACTTTTAACTTGATATATATGATTTGTGCCAGCTAGCTAGACTTCAGTGTCTTGATCTTCTTGATCGTGTTAAGCCTGGCTGATAAATCAGAGCATACACGTATGGAGAAGAACAGGTTGAGCAACAACTTGAAAGACCATGGTATTGTCACTAGAGCCATTAGAGATTCGAACAACAAAAGAATAATCCACTGCAGCCAAAGCTGTGAAGAAGACTACATCAATGGCTTCTCATGGCCTCCAAGGTCTTACACGTGTAGCTTCTGCAAAAGAGAGTTTAGATCTGCTCAGGCTTTGGGGGGCCATATGAATGTTCACAGGAAAGACCGAGCCAGGCTGAAAAACTCACCCCCAATAGATGGTCAGTACACTAGTACCATTTTTAACCTTAACCTTAAACCTAACCCTAACCCTAATTTCTTATCAACATCGTCACCATCATCATCTTCCTCTTTGGTATCACCATTTAGTAGCTCATTATCACTACCCTCTTTGATATCACCTCCACTTCCTCCTCCTCCACCACCTATATTTTCGGTACCATCTAGCGAAAATATGAAATGGGTTGTGGGAGGCACCCTTTTTAATCATCCTTTAAACCTCAAAGCTTCGGATTTAAGTACTAAATTGAAGGGTGCAAAATCTTTGTGTGGGGTTGGACAAGAAGATCAAGATGGGTGCATAAAGACTTTGAAGAAGGCAGCCGATCCTCATCAAATTCTTAGGTTGGACTTGGAGATTGGTATGTTTGGTGACACAAATAAGGAGGACTTGGATTTGGAGCTTCGATTAGGATACTCCTAGCTTTCACTAGCTAGCTAGTGATGAACACTTCCAAGCATCCTTTTAGTTAAGAATGTATGTTCACTTGGTTGAGATCAACTTATGAAGAGGCAAAAGAAATGTTAATTTTGGAGATTCTTCAATGTAAGAGAATATTAGTTAAATTAGTTGTCTTAATGGTCGTTGTCAAACTGCGTATTCTCACAACATATATATTTGGCATGTAATCCTCTATTGTAAGCATATTACTTCATCGATCATTTCATGAGGACTTAACAAAACTGAATATATTTTTTATTTCTTGCTTCCTAGCTCGGGGAAAATCAGCTGGCCAGTCACATTAATTATAGAAGTTTGTAGTTTGATGCATGACTGAGTTATGAAGTTTGACTGATGTCTTCTCTTTTTTCCATTTAGAAAGGGAAGGGGCAGAAAGAGAGATAGAGAGAGAGAGAGTCCAGGAATCTCACCTTCTTTTTCTTTTCTTCCTTTTTTTTTTTTTTTCCTGATGTTTTCTAGTTATATTCGTTGTTGGTTTGTGGAACTTGTTAGGTTAACTGTAACTTAACAAATTAACAACACGAAGTACAGTTGGTTTAATTGTATAAGAGAAAGTAAATGTCTCAGGAGAAAGCTTTATGTTGGGATTATTATTCTACTCATAATATGCTCTAATAATTATAAGTATTAAAAGAAAACCAACGCAGTTCTTCTGATTAAGTACTCTTTGAAGGATGTAATGAAAAAAGCATATGTGGTTTTCATATCCGGCCTAGGTCACTTACAAGCTATCTAATCGTTGAAACATTCCACACCAGTTACCTCTGAGAGAGAGAGAGAGAGAGAGAGAGAGAGAGAGAGAGATTAATAATAATACACAATAGAACCCATCATCTAATTTGTCTCCAAATAATCTAATTCCATGCAATGAAAGGTTGTATGAGTTGGGAAGTTTACATATGCATGCATGATGATTCATGTAATATTATATAAAATTTTCTGGGAAGTTCTCAATCTTGGGTTGTCAATGTAATTTTGTTTTTCTTTAAGAGAAAAACAAAATGGGTGATGATAGCTAATAGTATAGAAAGCCAAAAACAAGAAAAAAATGAAAATGAAAAAGTGGCATGGGAATTAAAACATGGTAGCGATCTCTATCATATATTGAAATTGATGTCTTGGATTGCATAAATACAAAAGACTTGCAATGTCAATGGAAATGTATGTGGTGTGGTGTGGTGTAGGTGGGTCATTTGGTGCTTTTCTCAAAACCTGATGGATTGCATGTTCCCGACAATGTCAGGGCGTCAAATGGTATGATGGCTTTTCCCTTACATGGAATGAAATTTTTTGGTCAGTTCAAACTATTGTAGCGAACTGGGACACCCCAAACTCTTAGCCAAACATAGCACTCATCAGTCAGGAACAAGGGGCATGATGCAAGTGGTGCCACTGCACAGGGCTCTTGAAATTTTTTACTTTATATTATATAAGTTTATATAATATATATTATATAAACTGTATATATACTTTAGTGTGCAGCTCATTGACATATAAGTACATTTGGTGGAGCTGGTTTCCAGCACATGTCTTTGCACAAGGCTAGGTTCGAGTCTCAATGATGTCAATCTATTTGTAATCTTATTCTTTGTTATTATAATAACAAAATTCAAAATAGTTTTAAAAAAGAAGCACTTGAAGAAAAAAAAAAAAAAGGGGGGAAAGATCCAACTAAACTAACAAGCAGTATATATCACACCCATACCCTTTCTCCAAAAATCAAATATTAATTGCTCATGCTGGTAACCAAAAAGATATTAGTTTGAAACCAGTTGAAAAGATTTTGGACTTCTCTATTTACTGTCAATTCATTTTGAATTGAATGCTCATAATCTAATACAGTATCGTAGTCACATTATCTTATATGTTGAACTCGACTTAGGTTGATGTTGGTCCTACTTGGTCATACTAAGTTTAATTTTTACTTTTTTCTATTATGACTCACGTAATAGTATAAGTTATAGTGTTTTAAAGTAAACTTTACTAAAAAAATCTACATATTAAAGGTATGTTTGGGAGTGTTTCTGGAAGTCTAGAATGGTTAAAAGTGCTTTTTGACAATCAAAAGCATTTCTGACTGTGTTGTGCAGAACAATTTGAAAGTTCTTATGAGTTTCAACAAAAATTTCAATGTCCTTCTAATAAAAGCGTTTTTGTTAGAAGCGCTTATTAATATGATCAATTTCTATAAAAGCAGTATCAAACAGCCCTAACTATTTTCAGATATATTTTGTGCTTTTGAAGTATCGGAACCAAATTTACTTCTCTCTTTATGCTCAATCCTAGATGGTTGGATGACAAAGGAATATTGGTCACATAATCACATTGAGTGCCCTACCTAATAATAACCCTGAGGTCCAAGTGAATGGAAGATAACTGAAGAAGAGAGAGAGCACATGCCCATTCTCATTTACATTTTCATTACATGCTGTGCTCAGTTTAAAGTCAGTCCGCTACTAGTATGTGAACATCACGTCATGTTGTTATCATCCTATGAATTGAAGCTCAAGCTCTCTCTAAAGTTACAGACTTTGCTTGCCTAAGAAGAACCCGACCCGATTAATTGGGCCCAACGTACAAAATTTGCAGTCCCAAATTCTCTAGGCCTTGCAGTGTACAGCCTTGGCCCATCACAAGGATTTCAGCTCCCGGAAATGCTATAATGAGGGGGTTATGATGAGGGGTTATGGGTAATGGCTGTGGGAGGGAGGGTATGTACAAATATCAGACATTGAGAAAGGAAAGAAGCTAAATCTTTGACATGATATTGTTGTTTTCTTCGTTTTGTTTGTTATCACATTAAGAGGTTTGCGTCTATGGACAGTTTTCGTATCAAAACTTATCTTAATCACTTGTTTTTTATTTGTTTCTTCTTATGAGACTTTGAACACTTGGTTTCAATTTCAAACTTTCATAACAGTCGACTTTTAATTAGCTCACTCCGTCCTTTTTATGGGGTCACATGACAAAGACCTAATATCACTAAGATTTTATGTATTAAAAATATGTGTGTGTGTATATATATATGCAAGAGAAAAAGAGTAACAAGTTATACTAAATGAGGATCAAGGAGAGAGTAGAGAAGTAGCTTAACCCTAACTAGCAAATTATTGCATGCCATAATGTAAATAAAACCAAAGCCACAAAGGAAACTAAGGGAAAATAATTTAGACTTAGAGGGGCCCTACACATGTATAGCATAATGAAAGTACAAAAAGAAAGGGAGACCTATAGGATTATGAAGAAGCTGCAAAGGTGGCTGTTTTAGTGAAAGTGAAGAGAGAAATGGCCATGGTGTGATGGCATAAAGGAATTAAAGCATAGTCAGCCACATCAACATCTTAATTTTTCTTATGGAATACATGGTAATAACGTTCAGAGGTAAGTTCAAACATCCATATAAGAGAATTTATATATACGATCACATGCATGAAGTATGCATATAACAAGAAATTGTGGTTTTGGTTTTATTTAAGAAAAGAAATTTATATAACAAGAACAAGTTCATAAATATTACAATAGGAAAATCCAAATGTGTGCACATTTCTACAAGAATTCATTGGATTGTTTACATAGAGGCCCCTTACTTAGGCCCAAATATTTTGGCCCCCTTCTATGACTGGCCCAACCCTAATTTTCCGTTTCTTTTGCGTTGTGTGTCCCTTTCTTCCTTTCCTCACCCCAATCATTTTCAACAAATCTCACTTACAAATTTGTCTCCTTTTGTTTTGAATCACATCAAGTCTCAAACTCAGTGACCAACTAGCATTTAATCTACGGGTAGGTCTTGGAACCATAGGCTGAATTCCCGGGACCAAGCAAAAAAGGCAAGACAGAGTAGAGGCACACGCAATAAGCATGTGCCACTTATGTTTAGCGATTGGACGAAAATATGAACGTGCTCTTAAATTGCCAAAAAGATAACAAAAATTGAATATACAAGGATTAAAGCGAAAATCCGAACACATTATAGGGACCAAAAGTGAAATTTAACTCAAAATCGTTGGGTAGGCCACGATATTGAAGCCAAGTTTTTGAACCTACCATACAGTGATTGGAAATTCCAATTCCAGGAAGAAACAGACATAATTTGGATCGTATCTGCAAAACCCACTTCACATATTTTATTTTATAATGGCTAATCAGAATTGAATTGGCAGTGCAAGCACTAAACATACAGCACTCACGTTGCTGTCACTGACGCCCTCTTAATCTTCCATTTGTCCAAGATTTGTTTGCATGTAATCAATTATTAATATTAATAATTATTATAATTGCACATTTAATTTGATGATGATGATGATGAATAATTCTTTGGACTTGGAGGGTTAATTATAAAACAAGAAGGAAGAAAGTAGCCGTCTCTGTGGTCTTAGCAGTAAGCACTGATGATATCATTTTAGAGACATGGTCAAAGGTAAAATGCCATCAGATGCCGCAGCAGGACGTGTTTTAATTTGGCCGTCTCCGATACAAAAAAGCACCAGCTAATATCTGCTACTACACACACAAGTAGACAAATGGTGTGGTGGAGATTTTCCAATTTTTTAATTATTAGGGTTACTATCTATTTATTCCTTTTGAACTGCTCCCCCCAATTCCCACTTCTCATCATCATCATCATCTCCTAATTATAATTTATACCTAATTAAGTACTATAGCTAGTTGTTTAGTTGGATCTTAATTAGCTTGGTTCAATTCAATGAATGGATAATCGAACATGAAAAGTGCTATCCACATTCTCAGTTTGTCGTCTTGCGTTTTTTTCTGTGAGTCCTTTAACATGATAAAGTGTACAAGTTAAAGTGAAGGTATCCTTACACTTATAATCAGGGTTCGACTTTCGTGATCCCCTTTTCTTCAATCAACAATTACAAAGGGGAATACCATAGATGGGGTTAATTTGCTCACTCTAGGTAGTCTTGGAGACCAAGCAAGCTGACAAATGAACCACATAATCTCTTTCCAATTATCAATGAGTCAAAAGGGGGTAAGAAAACGGGTTGACGTTTAATCTACATATAGGATGTAATTAATTAAGAGAGAAACCTTATTACTTGAAGGCGTGATATAGCATGTGGAAAATAATTAAGTTGTACGGCAGCTGCTGTTAATAGTAGTAGCCATATATAGCTAGCTTACTCGTAT